TTAGGGTTTTGATTTAAGTTTGAAAAAGCTCGTGATACATTGATCAAACGATCGATTTGGAGCTGCAGATATAATAACATCTGTGCAAAAGTTATCATTTTCGTCTGTTTTCTGCTGTTCTTGCCATCATACTTATGTGCTTGGTGGAATCAGAAAAACTGATGGAATATAAATCCTTAAATATGTAGCTTCACTTAGAATTTGTGTGTTACTGTGCAGAAACATTTATTACATTGTCCTCCTCTCAAGCAACACACACTCTTTTTACACAAGTTACTTTCACCTTTTTACTCGAAATAGAGATGATGTAGAGCGTAGTACGAATTGGGAAGAAAATGAGATACTCTCTCTTGAATTCGAACGATCAATTTTTCAATTCAACAAAATCTGCTCCTTTTCTCGTTCAGTACAGCATAAATAATAAAGGAGAGACCTAGACTTGCCAAAACACTTGCAAGCCAATTATTATCCTACCATATTTATTAAAATTACTAAATGGAATAAGCTAGAAAAGCAATAATAATAATAGATAATAAAGTAGATTAAACCCGGAGCCGATCGTATTTATTCAAAAATGCAATGGCGGTCTCGTCTTCATCAAGAGAAAAACAACATACGGGAAGAATATGATATTTAAAAAAAAAATGATGTTTGAGATATGAATATGATGAGGTGGGCTCAGCAACTCCTCTTCACAAATCCAATCTTTAAAGAAAGTCAGATTATGTGGTCCACAGCACTTCAAACTATAATATTCCTCAAAGGAATGCAGTTACAATATAAATGTATGTATGGATTACAAACTGCATAATAAAAAGATTAGCTCTCAAAGGAAACAAACAATACAAGTAGCAATCTTCCATTAAACAGCTGCTGCAGTTAACAGTCATCATAATAACAGTTTGAAAATAAAACAAAAAATTTGGTCAGTTAAAGAGATACAAAAGTACTTTTTTTCTGGTGTCCTTGAGCTACAAATCAATTGTAATAAATACAATAGCCCTAGGCAGCATAGATAAGAGAAGATAACGTGCTTCTGAACAAAGATACAAATTCGCGTTTCATTTTCAATCTCAATCGCAGCTTAGTTGAATATAACGGAGACTCAGATAAAGTCATCTGTATATCATCACAGTCCAAGAAATGCACATTGCTTTCTTGCGTGCTCTGGAATCAGCTTGCTCAGCAACTCAACCGGCACACCTTTTAGCTCTGATCAGACAAAACATATGGGATAATAATTCGATATAACGGTATTTATGTAACTACACTAAATAAGCAAAAGCACAAAAGAAGCATCTTTTGACAAGCAATACTCACCATGTGGCTTGAAGTTGAATAGAGGTGGAACAAACCGACCGTTTGGTAGCCGGACATTTGGATCACGCAGCTCATCAAAGAAAGGGTGAATCAATGCCTCAAGCTGCAACACATATTAAGGAATTCAATCAAAAATCATGAGAATGCATTTCAACAAGTAATGTGTTGATTTCGCTTTTTTCTCTGTACACTACAACAAATGCACGTTTCTTTCGTCCAATGAATAGTTAATACTCACCGCCGTGCAACGCAGATTTGGAGAGTACTGAAGTAGCCTTGAAACAAGATCAACAGCTTCTGCTGGGGTGCGTTTGTGGAATATCTGAATCATCGAAATTGCATCACAAATCACCGGATAATTAATAGAAGAAAAAATCATCTTGCGTAAGGCAGCAGCCTACCTTATGCCATGGGTGAGCTTTTATTTGGGGGAACTTGAACTCGGTGTAATTTGGGTTCATACATTTGATCTCCTCTCTTGTTGGTGTGCCCAGAACCTTAACATGCAAACAAATGCATTAAGTACATAAGCCACAATGGATTACTGATTAGCAAATAATGTTTCGAACAAGTAAACGCGTGAAAGATTTAATAATAATGGGATGAACGGACTCATAATTACCTTAATGATCTCAACAAGTTGGTCAACTCCGCTCTCACCAGGAAATAGAGGCTGAAATTTCCATACAACTTCTTTAGCAAAAATAAAAATAAAAACTGAGAGAACCATTTTTTAAGGAACTGAAAAAAGAAGACAACCAAAATAACCAACCTGTCCAAGCAACAGTTCGGCTAGAACACATCCAACCGACCAAATGTCAATGGCCGTAGTGTATTCCGTAGCACCAAATATCAGCTCAGGAGCACGATAATACCTTGAACATATGTATGAAATGTTTGGTTCTCCTTTGACCTACAAAGTTGAGCCCATTAAGAACACAGTTATGGAAACGGAAAGCACGCTTCAGATAGGAGGGGGGAGAATGAAACTAACCAGCACTTTTGCGCTCCCAAAATCACATAGTTTGACCTGGTGAGTATGTGGATTAACCTGTGAACAACAAGGCAATCAGTAAGTCCCTAGTTCCATTATCACCATAAACAAAATGCATATATAATATAATAAGACACCTACCAATAAGTTTTGAGGTTTGATGTCCCTGTGGCATACCCCAATACTACCATGGATATATGCCAGAGATCGAAAAATCTGCTACAAAAAGATATTTTATGAGACTTTCTGAAAGAACCCATCGCTGGTAAGAACAAAACAGACTAATAGAAACAAATAAGTCATCATACTCGAGCTTTTGAATGCCAATAAATGCCAATGAGAAGATGCAAGTGAAAAATAGGTAAGAATAAACTAACTAAAACAAATGAGTCATCATATTCGACGTTTATAATGGCAAATGAATGTCAATGACAAGATGCATATGACAAAAGGTTCTACCTGATAAGCATAAAGTTTCACATATATCATTGGCATTCTCTGGCTCATTTTGTTGTAATGTCTAATCACCCGATGAACAGTTTCGGGAACATACTCCAACACCAAGTTAAGGAAAAGCTCCTTCTCAGTCGTTGAGAAGAAACAATGCTTTAAAGACACAACATTAGGGTGGTCTAGTAAACGCATGGTTTGCAGCTCACGGTTCTTGTATCTCTTATCCTGAAGAACCTTTTTAATAGCAACAGTTTCACCAGTTTCTAGACATTTTGCCTGCACCAAATCATTAAAGAAAATTAAAAATTAAAAAGAAAAAGCATACAGAACTGCAAATCCACATAATCCATGTCATTTTCCTTTCCCTGTACACCAGAACAATAAAAAGCTCACCTGAAACACTACTCCAAAGGAGCCCTGCCCCACAATACGCTCAGCCATGTAGCTGATAGTCTGATAATTAGGAATAAAACATGTATAAGCACTTGACAAAAATCTTTGACCAAGTTTTAAATAGTTTAATATAAATATAACTACCGAAATTGACCTGTTTTGGCTGGCCATTTCGTCCACCAATTGTTGTCACGATTATATGACCAGTTTCTGTTCCATTACCATCTACAACAGCTGGTTCCATATCCTATGAAGCAGGATAAGATTTAATCAGGTCAATATAGAAATGAACTGTACTAGATAATTAACTCGAATGAAAAGATAAAAATGAAGAAAAGCTGATACCTTGTCATCCTTGAGCTTCATCTCATTCATCTCATCTGGAAGCCTATCCAAACCACCATTT